AAACCCACTCGTGAACGTTTTCCCCCTTCTCCGGTACTCCAGAACCACTACCAAAACCTTAGCTGTCCTCGACAAGCTACTTGCTTCCCTCAACTCCAGCAATAGTGGCCTTCATGAAGGTTCTCTATGTTCCTTTACTCGTACTTTCTCCTCCCAGCCAGAGCTTCCTCTTCCTTGTCGGAGTTATCACTGGCAGACCCCTTTTCAACCTCCTACGCGTATTTTGCCAAAGATCCTCGCTGCTTGCTAGACTTCTAGCAACTGCCTATAAGCTCTATGTTCACACCAAAGTCATCGCCGAGAAGCCTTTCCTTCTCACTACTGAAACTCCTAAATGTTTAACCTTCAGTAAAATAGTGAAAAAAGGGGTTTCCTCCTTATATAGATGACGTTTCCCTGAAGTAGCCCTCACAAACTGGGAATGCTAGTCAAGTCCCTGAAGGCCAAACGACAATGGGTCGGACCCGAGGCTCGAAAAGAGGTTACTACTGCCCACGCAACACCAAGAGTCAAATGGACCAAGACAGGGTCGGGCTTAGGCCCGAACACAGGTCACCACCGTCTGTGTACTGACAAGCGCCATATGTGTAACTTGTGACCAGCGCCTTCTGTGTAACTTGTGACCAACGTTGTCTATGTAACTTGTGACCAACGCCGTCTGTGTAACTTGTGAGCAGCGATGTCTATGTAATTTGTCTGCAGCGCCGCGCGTGCATTGTCCGTGTGACTGGTGCCTAGCGCTGTTGAGGACAAGCGTCGTGTGTGTTACGCTCCCCATGCTAACGTCGTGCATGTTCGACCACCCTGCATGGCCTTATACTAGGCCCTGTTACTACCGTGAGTGTTCTACCATCATCCCCAGTAGGAGTTATATCTGCCCTACAACCCATCATCCCTAGTGGAGTTAGGTGTATGCCAAAACAAAAAGAGTCATGCTTACCTCTGCAATCCCCAGTGGATCTATTTCGCACCAAGCTATCTTATCCCCAAGGAGTTGGGTTACCTTCCATAAGAATATTCTCCATAGAGTGTCTTCTTTTATCCCAAGGAGTCACACTTGCCCCCTAATCCCCAGTAAAGTCCGCTTTCATTTATCATCCTTCGCCGGGTCGCCATCTTCATCTAAGCCCTCTGCTTGGGTATGGCGTTAACCATTTTATCCCAAGGGAGTCGGATTGTCATCCATGCTTCTATTCCCCATGTAGCTTCACCTACAGACGACCCACATAATGGTTTGTGTTGCATAACCTTAAATTGCACAGCCACGATCTAGATGCACGACCCTAAACTGCATGGTCTAAACTATATGACCTTAACCTGTAGTGGAGGTCTAGTTGCATGACCTTAAACTTCATGGTCCTAGTTGCATGACTTTAAACTGCATAGCCACGGTCCACGTTATATGACTTTAAATCATAGTGTACGTCCTAGCCACATCACGTTAAAAGGCTTACCAGCATGGTCCAAACTATATGACCTTAAACTGTAGCGGCCTTAAACTGAATGGTCCTGGCTGCATGACTTTAAATTGCATAGCCACAGTCCAAGCTATATGACCTTAAAATATAGCGTACGTCCTGGCCGCATGATGGTCAACTACTTTGCCCAGGTCCCGAAGGCATGACCTTAAACATGCCCCTAACCGACCCGCTCGCTTTACATGCATCTTCACGCATGCCTTCCCTAACCGACCCATTCGTATGCGCGCACACCACCTTCATCAACTCCCCTTTCACTTCATCACCATTCATCATTCCCTAGTGAGTCTCACCCACGCTCACAAACGGCGAGCCATCCACCATCCATACTCGTCGTCAGCTAGTGGGTCACCACTTTCCACCTTTCATGCCACTACCGTTCATCACCACTACGGTCTAGCTGTACGACCTTAAATTATAGTGCACGTTCTACCCGCATGATGTTAAATGGCTTCGTACAGGTCCCAAAGGCATGACCCTACACACGCATTCACAAAAAAAAAAGAAGTAACGGGCATGGTGTGTACCTGGACAAGGGAATGCCATGAGTAAAAATGACAGATGGGCATGGTCACAAAACCATGAGTAAGAGAGTTCTGTGAAAATAAAAACCCGGACATGGTAAAAACCCCAAAGGGCACCGTGAGTAAAAATAGAAGAATAAGGGTGGACATGGTCGAAAGGTCATGGGTAAAAGAGCCCCAAATAAAAGGAAGTTGGTGAAAATCATTTCTACTGTACCAGTTCCCAAGTCCAAGTGAAAATCCGTAAAGGACGCTTGGATCAATAAGCAGGTTGATGCAGCACATGCCTCATAGGCAGCTTCAGGCACTATGCAAGAAGAAAAATCCTTGGTGTCAGAATACCTTGATACTAAGGCCCAAAAAGATGAGCATCAAGGAAATATTCCAACAGCCTAAGTCCATTCGCAAAAGGACTCGAAGGACTAAAGACTCGCCAAGAAGGTAAGACAAGTCTCATGAAGAAGAGCACCATTCCCAAGAGGTCACTAACACACTCCAAGATGCTGAAGGTGCCCCAAGAAAGCTAAGTCAACCAGACCTTGGACCTGTTATGCACTAGCTAGGACTGAGCCCCCAGTGGTCATCTCGGACGAAGAAGAGAGGTATCCTGATTATCGAAACTGCTAGTAGTAAGCAAGGTTGTGCCCACAGCTGGTCACCTCAATAAAATGAGGTACCGTACCCGCCAAGCAAAATCTGGTGTGAAAAGCAGACGGCCACTAATAGAAGGCCCTTCAACAGACCATCCAGAACAAACAACAAAACAAAGAAACCCAGACTAAATGGGAAAAATGCCCTTTAGCATGACACTTGACTGTTAGATGGGCCTAATTTTGACCAACGAGGTCCGTACAAAATCCTCAACTATTAGAATCACAAATAGTCCCTTGACAGTGAGGACTTCAACAGGATCCCTCAAAAATCTCCACAGATGGACCTGTACAATGCATCTAAATGTCTGACCATCCTAGTTACAACATTGCATGGATATCTCCTCGACGTTCATGTAGTCCTGTGGCTAGGAAGAAAAAAGAAATAAAGCCGAGGAAATTTTTCGAATGTCGTCCTTCTCGCGTCTCTCAAAGCACAAAATTCGATGGGGTAAGCTGTTTGAACACATTTTTCGACACCTTAATCCTCGATGCGGAATAAAAGAGAAGCCGGTCAATGAAGCCCTACTTACAGTAGAATTCCCGACAATCTCAAAATTTCCCCAGAACGGGTGAGAATCTTCTTATGGACTCCAAAAGGCCACCTGCCAAGTTTTTTCATGATCCGACATGTCTAAGGCAGTGCAAACAAAGAAACAATTTCAAAAAAATCAGTCTCTAGCACCATGAAACGAACCCCGTAACTAGAACTCTATTTTCGATACTTTAAATCGCTGTGGGACCATCGCCATTGGATCTAGCATAGTCGAAAACCTTAGGGGTCAAGTTTCGGCTTAAACAGACGTTCTAGGATAAAGTTATGGGTGAAACATACCTCCATGCACCAATCTCCATTAAAGGAGATGATTTTGTACAGTCACGAGCAGCAAGTTTGAAGACTCATAACTTACTAGTTTTGAGTCGGATCGCACTCAAATTTTGCGAGCGTGTTCGTCTCCTCAAGACGAGCGTTTTGATATGTGACACGCCCCATGACGATGCCCAAGCAAGGAGAAAAGCTAGAGAGACGATATTCACGGTAATTGTTGCAGAAAATTTAGCAGCGATGCGTCTCGCTCGAGAAGCCGTATCATGACGCTCGCACAGCGGATCGACATGAGACCAGTTCCATTGCGTGTGTAAGGTCTGAGGCTACATTTGGGCCGAACCTCGCATGTGATGAACGGTCGAATTTCACATGCGAAGCCAATAAGGTTGCTATAGATTCTGGCCGCTGGAATTCAAGATTCCAGTCAAAAACCCAAGACGACGAAAACTTCGTTCGTGCACGAAATCAAGCTGTGTTTGTTGCAACGCGATTGTGACGACATGTTCAATACAAATCAGTGAAGAAATCAAAGAAAAAAAATCAAGAAACAAGTACACTATATATTGGAAGTTTTCAAGTTTCATACAAATTTCAAGTCAGATCGTGGCCTAAAAACGCGATCCGTGGCTTGGAGTTCGTATCAAATCGATTGTCATGCCAAGCCCAATGAGAAATTAATTATCTTTCTGCCAAACGGGCGTTGGAGCAACCCCGAATCATCCATGAAAGATCACGCATGTTCTAAGGCAACAACATGGACTATTTTGAATTTCATTTATTGTTGAGCAGGGGCAAAATTGTCATTTTATGTCCATTTTTAGATTTTTCTTTAATTCAATTAAATTGTAATTATCATCAATTAGGCTAGATTTTAGGCATCCACCCATGTTTCGGCCTAATTCTATAAATACATTCTAAACCTAATTGTAAAAGGATGCCCACAGTTTTTAATCTTATGAATAAAATTTGAGAGTTTCACATTTAAATTGTGGGCACATCTTGGAGAGAGAGAGAGGAGAGAGAAGAAAAAGTATGGTACCCTTTGGTGAAGAAACCTGAGAGTACACGTCAAGGGAGGCGATTCTGAACCAGTTGTAGGATTGGAGGGCTTTCCGATGTGATCTAAGAGGCCGCCAGCACGAGTCAGCCCAAGTGAGTCACGGACCCAGGTGAGGTGTGTCCCGCCTCACATTAAAATTCCCTCTCTCATCGGTTGGTATAACTGCCCTTGTTTTGTAACAAGGTTTCCGAGAGAACGATCTCAAGTCTCGGGTTCCCCTGAAACCTGAGACACGTGCCACCAGGTCATCCCTACCCGAAGGGTGAGATCGAGGCACCTAACCAGTCTCGCAATGTGAAAAGTAGAGTCAAAAGACTGTTAGCTGGCAGTGGTTCGTGACACTTACCTCGTCGAGGGATTTCGCCACATACGAACTATTAAATGTCTGAAGACATAACCTAACCACCCTCAGAGGGTGTTTACATATGCCACGCAGGTGTCATCGTCATAAAGGCGGATATGCCATACATGCGCCATCGCCACAAAAGTGGATATGCCACACAAGCAAATGGTATTCACTTGAAATTCCACATGTTCAATAGCTGTGCCACTAAGGCTCATCACAGGTGTATTATAAGAAACCTGTGGATCTCAATCTCATACCCCTTACACACCTCATGTGTGTTTATGTTGACACCATTAGTCAATGGGCCAACTATCATGAAATATGTGTGGAGATACATTACTTCTATATCCTTTCGTTCCACAAACTCTCTCACCGAATGATACTTTCTATCAATGTGTTTTGCTATATTGTGGTACATATGATATTTAGAATTGGTTGTGGTAGCTTGGTTGTCACAATGAATAACTGTTGGAGTGCTCTCAAACGTAGCCAATGTATCTTACTGAGCAATGTTTTTAAATATATTGCTTCATTGACTACTTGAAATAAGGCTACATACTCTACCTCCATTGTTGATTATGATATATACTCTTTTGTATATGGCTGCTCCATGATATACATGCTCCTCCATAAGTGAAAAGCCATCCAGATGTAGATATGAATTCATCTTCTCTGCCAGCTCAGTTATCACCACTGTAGCCTTGCAATTCTAATTTACCATTTCCATTGTATAGGCTATAACTGGTGGTCTTTTTGAGATATCTAAATATTTTCTTTACAAGTTTCCAATGTTCTATGCCTGGGTTACTCATATAATGGCTAGCAACCCCCACTGCATATGCTATGTCAGGACGTGTGCAGTTCATCAAATAGTTTACTGCTTGTGCATAAGGGATCTTTTTCATAATCTCTTTTTTCTTATCAGACGTAGGACACATCTCCTTGGACAGTTTACACTCTTTCTCTTATGGGTTTCCCATTGGTTTAGATTCATCCATTCTAAACTTTTTTAGTAACTTTATCGTATATAATTCTTGGCTTAAGTAGAGTAATCTTCTCTTTGTATGTTTTGTAACTTGCATGCCAAGAACCTGCTCTAGTTCTCCTAAGTCTTTCATTTCAAATTGTAAAGATAACCACTCTTTGGTATCTTTAATAACCTTAGGATCACTACTTGTAATGATTATATTATTTACATATAACACTAAAATGAGATGACTACCCCCACTACTTCAGATGTATACGCAATAGTCAGCACTAGTATTAATAGAGCCATAGTTCTTTAGTGCATCATCGAACTTTAAATACCATGGTCTTGAGGACTGTTTAAGTCCATAAAGAAATTTCTTTAACTTGTACACTTTGCCTCATTGTTCTTTAGACTCGAATGCCTTGGGTTGCCTCTTAAATATCTCTTCCTCTAATTCACTATTGAGGAATGTTGTCTTTACATCCATTTGATGCATGTCAAAGTTATAATTGTTTGCTATTGCTAGTACAATCCTAATAGATGACTTTCTAGCAATAGGGAAGAAAGTTTCTTTATAATCTACCCCTTCTACTTGGGTAAAACCCCCAGGAACCAGTCTAGCTTACTTATTAATTGTTCTATCTAGATTCAATTTTTTAATATAGATCCATTTACAACTAATGGCTCTACTGCCTTCTGGTAGGTCTACTAAGGTCCATGTCTCATTCTTCATGAATGAGTTATATTTATCTTGCATTGCCTTCATCCAATTGGATGCCTCGGATGAACTTATGACCTCTTTAAAGCTTATGGATTCATCATCAAGATCTACATTATACCTATAGTAGTCATCCAAGTAACTGGATCTTTTAGTTTCCCTGGTACTTTTCCTAGGCTCTACCATAATAGGAATACGATTAACACTACCAAGGTTCTCACATGAATCATTAGGTTGCCCCATTTCTTCTTCTTTTAATTCTATAATTTTAGGTTGTTTTCCCTTTGGCATTTCTTCATCCTCAAAAAAATGAGCGTCTCTACTTTCTATGATAGTCTTAATCTCATGATCATGGAATCTATAACCCTTAGAGTGACTAGAGTTCCCAACAAAAGTGCATTTAATGGTTTTAGGTCCTAATTTTTCTCTATTTGGGCTAAGGACATGAGCTACATAACCCCAAACTCTAATATGATCTAAATTAGGCTTTCTATTAAACCATAATTCAAAAGGGGTTCTACTTATAAATTTGTTAGGAACTCTATTTAATATATAAGTTGAGGCTAACAAAGCTTCTCCCCAAAATTGGTAAGATATAACTTCGTGTACCAGACAATTAACCATCTCTAATAAGGTTATATTTTTTCTTTCAGCTATACTATTCTGTTGGGGTGTATAAGGGAGTGTGCATTGTCTAATAATCCCATGTTCCTTATAAAAATTTTCAAACTCAAGTGAAGTATATTCTCCTCCTCTATCACTTCTCAAATTTTAATTTTTTTATCTAGTTGATTTTCAACTTCCATCTTATACTCTTTAAATTTTCATAAAGCTTCACTTTTATGAGAAAACAAATATGTATATGTATATCGTGAATAATCATTAATGAAAGTGATAAAATATTTATGTCCTTTAAAGGTTTTAGCATCTAATTTTCCACAAATATCAGTATGGACTATATGTAGAACATTTTCAGTCCTTAATCCCTTTGGGAATGGTTTTCTATGCACCTTTCCTTTTAAACAGTTCTCACTTTTAAAATTATCTCTTTTTTCATAAGGAATTAATTTTTATTTCATCATTCTAGACACTTTTTCATAGCCAATGTGTCCTAATCTTCTATGCCATACATTAAGGCTTTCTTGGAAAGAAGGATTAACAATATAAGAGAAAGATGATTTCATTTCATTAATTTCAAGTTTATACAAACTGCCACAAAGAGAAGCCTTAGCCACTTCTACACCATCATTAAGAAAAGTCATATTCCCCCCTTTTACATTCACTTGGACCCCATTTTTATCTACCTTAGACAAGGAAATGAGGTTACGCCTCATGTTGGGGGCATAGAGGACATCATTAAGGGTAAGAGTACTCCCACTAAGAAGAGGAAGCTTCACGGTCGCCTAGCCAAGAATGTGGACCCAAGAGGAGTTTCCCATATAGAGCTTCCAACCATTAACCTTCTTCTCTATAAAGTCCACCACGTGCTCCTTGCTCGTGGTGATATGCCTTGTTGCACCCAAACCAATCCACCAACCATTGGATGGGGTAACCGAGAGAGACTCTTCTACTACGAATGCAACATCCTTTGGATGATTGGGCTCTCCTCTCTCCATCTTCTTTGGTGGGGCCCTACAAAATTTGACAATATGACTAAGTTTATTGCAATTAAAACATTTTCTTAACCTTTTAAAGAATTTTCCTTTTTTCTTGTCTTATTTTTTGTTTCCTCATTGTTTTATGTATTCTCCTTTCTCTTCTTATGATTGGGTCTTGGATACCCCTTTTGAGTAGCCAAATAAGCTTGTCGATGGGCTCTTTCATTTTTCGCTTTAGCCCTATCATTCTCTTCCATCCTAAGGTGTCCCCTTAAATCATCAAGGGTGTGGATGGTACCATTGTGGCACAAGTTTTTCTTAAGATCTTTCCATGAATTTGGGGGATTTTCTATTATCTTCATGATTTGATGACACTCTAATATGAGTCCTCCATAACCGGCAAGTTGGTTAGCTATTACAATCATGTCATCAAAAAATTCCAGCATTGATTGGTTCTCTCTCATTTTATGTTGGTTACATATTTCATAAGTACATGGTTTGCCATAAAATTGTCCTCAGTGTACCTTTCTCAATGGCCTCCCATAAGTCTTTAGCATTAGTGTTGGGTTCAAAGACGTTATGCAATCTATTACTAAGGCAATTCAAAATGGCACCATTACATGTAAAATTATCATTTTTTCATTTCAAGTATCTTTGTTTCTCTCCAAGTGTAGAGTCATCATCAATTTCAGTTATGATTTCTTCTTCAATTAATTACATACAACAAACCTATAGTATGCAACAAATAAGATACTTTACTTTTCTAAAGTGAGAAATTATAGCCATCAAGCTTATCAATCTTCACTAAATCAATCAATATATTCGATACAAATTGAAAACCCCTAAGCTTTGATACCAATTGTTGGCCCAAATACATTGGATCTTTAATATTTTCAGAAGTAAATAGAGCTATATCAACATGCAAGTTGGGTTTTGAACTCAATCAAAAATATCCACAAACATATGGCATGAATTTCTTATCAAAATACCCAGAAAAAATTGCTGTAAATTCTTTGGAACTCAAGAGGATGTACAAATATCACTAACTTTTTAATTCACTGAAGAATCTCAACCAAAAATCTATTGCATCTATTGATAAGCTCTTCTAAGCAATCCCAATAGAATTTCCAGCAAGCATGTACTCATCAAAAACCCATCATAAACGATTCCAACAATGTAAGGTAATGGCCAAGACCTTTTCCCTTGCTTATACAATATTTTCCAACCTTCTTGTAGTATTTCTAGATCCAAAAGATGAAAAAAAAGTTGGAACAGACTCACCAAATTCGTATGAATTTGTAGGCACAGTTTAATAGTTTTTCTAGGGAGAGAATGTGGCTGAAAATGAGGTTTCCAGCAATATATAGCACAAAATAAAACACACGTTTCCTGCAAAACAGTTGTTAGCAAATAATCTAGAAGGAGAAAGCTTCTTCGAGATGCAACACGGTGCTGAAATTGATCATGTGACACTGGAGGGCTCTTATAGAGATGAGAGGCTCATCCCTTGTACCCAGCTCACAAGGAAGCATACGAGAGAGAAAGAGGTTTAAGGTTGAGAAAAAGAGCTCGTGCTCGGTACTTCAGCCTCCCAAAGCCCATTTCCATTAATATAGCTATCAAAAGAGGAAAATAGAGACACATGTAAAGAGAGAAATGACAAGTGTTGCATTTCAATAGCCACTTGTCCCTCTATATATATATGGGTGCGGTTTGTATAGAGCCTAGGCTCTAAACAATCCAATTAGAGCCTTCCTTCAACTAGTATCTAGGAATGTGGTTTCAATACTGCAAATATTTTTGATAGCCTTAAGGTATATTTTCATATTTATTTATAAAGTTTAAAGTTTAAAAAATAGTGTATATCGAGATATTTATAAAAACTTGAAAATATTTAAAAATGACGGTAAAAAAATGTGTTACAAAATACTCTATTTCCAATACTTGAAATCCATATTTTTATCATGTACATACATCTTGATGTCGAGATGATCAATTTGAGGATATTTCGAGATGATCAATGTGAGGTAGGCTCGAATTTGATTGTTTAGATCGTCGGCTCTACATAAACTTTTCCCTATATATACATATCGCTGAGGATCTAAACAGTCAAATTAGAGCGCACCTCAAAAATTTCACTAGATTAAAAAATTTCACTAGATGAGGTTGTTTTGATGCCCACCCTCAAATTGATCATCTCGACATCAAGATGCATGGACGTGAGAAAAAAATGGACTTTAAGTTTTGGAAATAGTGTATCTTGTAACGTCTTTTTGGACCGTCAATTTTCAAGATTTTCAAGTTTTTATAATTAAAGATGAAATTATATTTAAGGCCATCATAAAGATTTCCCATATTGAAACTGCATTTCTTGGCACTATTTGAAGATGCACTTTACCCTGATTGTTTAGAGCCTCGGCTCTATACAAACAGCACCCCTCTGTCTAACTGGCAAACTCTCTTTCTAACGGGTATTATGCATTTTAGTGCGGCTGCACCTAGTTATCGTATGGCCGTGGCCGTGTCATTGCTTTTGCCCTTTCTTTTGGCAACAATAACATAAGCCTTTTGGAGTTGCAAAGAGTGTGTCCAAAATTAAGAAAAAGTTTATATAAGGATACAACCTTATAACGTAGAACTACGGATGCACCTCAAAAATCCATCGAAAAGATGTTTTAATGTTGAAAAACCTTTTGATTGATCATCTCGACATCGAGATGTATGACCATGAAAAATAAAAAGATTGTAAGTCTTATAAATAGTGCATTTTACAACATATTATCTACACCATCCATTTTCAAGATTTCCATATGATTATAGATCTATTTCATTCTAACTATCTTTAAAATTTAAAATTTTATAATTAAATATAAAAATAGGTTTTGAGCATATCCTAATAACATTTTACATCAATAAAGCTGGGAAAATTACCGTACCTCTGTACGTACGGATGCATCCGTGTGCAAGCTGCAACCCCTACAAAATAAACACACGTGATCGACAGGTCTTATCACTCTTTGTTCATAATTTGGGAATTGGAATCGTCCACGCGCGTGAAGTGAAGTAAACAGGCACTGGCCCTTATAAGCATTCTGATCAAGAAAACATCAAACCAATCAAATCAAATCTGCTCTTCCCCAACACATCCTGGCCTCTTTTCGTTCTTCTTCCTCAGATGACGGTGGCTCCTCCTCCACCCAAAGCTTTCTTCCCTCTCATTCTTCTCCTCATCTCCTGAACTACCTTCGTTCTCATATTCTTCTTCATCATCACCATCACCAAGAAAAGGGACGGCAACATGGTGATGATGGAGAGGAAACAATCTCTGCTTCTTCTCAACAGACGAAGGGCTTCGCCATTGCGAGTTCCGATCCTTGCCGCTGCCCCCGTTGCCTTCCCCTCTTCTCTTGTCTTCGTGACGATGCGTCTTCGGCTCCTGCTACTGGTACAATTAACTCTCTCTAATTCTTTCTCCTTTTCCAAGTCTATTGGATTTAATGTATAGTTTGATCAAACTCTCTATCTCTCTCTATGTAAAACCTAGAGCTGTCATGGTTTTAGAAATGATTCTTCTGCCTCATTTGTAGGTGTTGATTTGTCTTCAATTAAAACCTAACACCATGAGGAAACCCAAATGGCTGTTTGACAACTTAGTGCGCACCTCTGCTTGTGTTGGGCCTTCCGATTTGATTATTCTTGTGTTTTATTTTTTATTTTTTATTTTTTTTGAAGGAAATTCAGTAATTTCTGATCATTTTGGTTTGGCGTCCATCTCAGGAGGAGGAGAAGAGGTGGCCGAGGAACGCAAGGTTAGTGTTCATTTTCCTATTAACTTTGGCCTTATGACTTAGCTATGCATCTTGCTTTTGATGAATACACTGGAAGCTGACTGTTATGTGAGTATTTTCTTACTTTATTTTCTTCATTTAGAAATTGGATCACACAGTTTAGTTTTTTTAAAACCACAAATAAGGCAGACAACAGAACCCTAGGATCAACATTTAAGACACTACATGAGATGACCTGCATTAACTTATGCCTGATAAAAGTCTCATGGACCATGAAAAGCTCTTGCTTAGGATTTTTCTGTGCTTATGCAAGATGTTTGGAATGTTTTACAAGGGGAATTGCTCGATGCATCTCTGCTCTAAAGGAAGTCAAGCTCATATAAAGATGCTTCCTTCTATGAGGAATTGATCTTTGCAACTTTACTTTTTTTTATGTTCTGTTCCAATAAAATGGGTGTCCATTCTTGATTGAATCTCATATATGGTTTGGATGCGGCCCATGAATGCTCAAGTGTGCTTATCTAACTAGAATTTGACATTGATGGATTTTGAAGACCTATTGCGGAACTCCGTTTTTGAGTGAAATATGATGTTTGTTATATATTTTATAAGAAGGAACTATCATATCCATTCAAATCAAGATCTTTCCTTTCAAATCATTGGAAGAGAGATTATGTAACTTGATAGATGCTTCCAGGAATCAATGGACACAATACACAATTTTATGACATTTACCTGACAAGTTCTTTAGAGAACTGTGGTAACTCGTGTTTTTATTTACTCTATGGGTTAGCTGGGGTTTGGAGTTGAGTGACTTGCTTTTGGGCCTTTAACTGGTAGACTTGGTTAGTTCAACTTGGCTCGAACTGGTTCAATTTGAATGAAAGAAAAATAAAAAAGGTTTCTTTTATTGAACCAAAATTCAGTTCTCTTTAGTTGAATTAGGTGCTCATCTCTGGTTTGAAACGATTGTCCAAGGACTTGGCTAAGTTACTACTTGGACCCAACACCTTGCTGAGTTGAGTAGTCAAATAAAAACTCGGGCTAATTTTAAAAATAATAATAAAAAAAAATATAAGAGTCCAATAAAAATCAGGCTAATTATAAAATAATAATAATAATAATAATAATAAATATAAGATTATGGAATCAATGTAACAAAATTGTATATGTGATTTGGATATATTTTTTTATAATGATTTGGGAATTCTTCTTGCCATATGCCTTACTTTATATTTATGTCTTTTTTAAAATTTTTCTAAAATGTTTCCAACCATAGATCTACTTTTTCTATATCATATTTTTTCAACTTATTTGCACCATTTATCTTGCTTTGGGGTTTATTTTCACTTTTACAATTTTGTTTTAATTTTAGCAACTTTTTTTTTTTTTTTAAGGTTTTAGGGATTTTAGAGCCCTGTGCACTACTAAGCCGAGTTAGTCGGCTTTGGCCAGGGTTGAGTTCGAGGCCTAAGCCAAGTTCAGAAACATTGTTTCAAGCAATATGATTAAAAAGAACATCTTACTACCGGATCTGATTTTCTTAACTACTACCTCTTCTATAAAAATCCCATTTGAGTTTCCTTGTATTGAATTTTAGTCATTCCCATCTAAAACAGCATATAATGGATTGAAATGCTACAAACAGCATACGTAATGAGGCGTACTTCTCTCACAAATGAGATAGATTGTCTTTTCCATGGTGCCACGCTTAGTTTCAACCAATGTTTGAAAGTGCGACTCATGCTGATGGGCTGAGTTTCGTACTGAACACATAAATGGGGCTAAAAAACCCCCAAAAAATTTGGAGAATTTATAAAAAATATTAAAATCTAATATGTATTGGTTTTGACTTTTTGTACATTGTCACATAAAATAAGAGGAAAAAGTTTATTATAAGAGTTGGGTTTCAAATAGAATATTTAGGCACTTGAGCCAATACGTTTTCATTGAACAACTAACTAAAGGAAAATACATATTACAAACAAGTGTAAAACACTGCTCAATAGTAGTAAGAGTGATGATGGGGTTCAGGATCTTCTTGAGTTTCGCAATTAAGTTTGAGTGAAGCTCGGTGGAGTCTATAGTGCGGCAACAGTTCCTCCTTGCTAAGTAGGAATAACTACCTTATGAAGTTCCTTGGCATTTGTCACCTAGTAAACTGCCCATTCTCCTCGCCTCCTTGGCCTTTGCTTTGCCCCTCATCGGCGTTGTCATTGTCGCGAATAACCAGCCTACAGCACCAGCCACCTCTGTGTCTCTCTCCAACGGTGTAACTACTGTGCTTGGTTGTCTTGACTTCTTCCCGAACCAATCTAAGTCCCTCATCCACCCCAGAGGAGCTAGTAGCTTGTGGCACCTCGCACTCTACTACTGCTGCCTCACGCCAATCATGTCGCATTATCCCATCATCATTGTTATCATTGTTGTCGTTGTTGCCCTCATAACCGATTCTTCTAAGTAGTGCTAATCTAGAAGTGACCCTGTTTTCTGATACCTACTCATCAGTAAGGTCTTTGTGGAAGATGTAATCCAGGTTGATCGGGGTATAGTTTGAGGGAAACTTCTTTATCTGGTGTGGCCCGAGTTTGATGTTATAGTGGACATAGATGAGGTTGTGCAGTGTCCCAGTCTTCAAAATGTTTCGCCTGGGAGTGCATATCCACTAGAATGTGCTCCAATTTCTCTCACAACCTGAGACAGAGCATGTTGGCTCAAAATTTGAATGGCAAGCGTTTGAAGGTCCGGCATTTGCAAACCATGTATCATCCACCAATTAGTTGATACAGGAAAATATGGAATATTTAAAAACAAATAATGACATTATAATGTATTATCAAGTAGTGGATAACTTGATATCTTAAAATAGCAAGACTGATATAGTTGTAGAATTAACCTTGAGGCAATCATCCAATCACCTTTATGGCATTGTTGAATGCAAATTCACCCTTACGATCCATATACATATTAAGCTATACAGATCAAGATGCACATACCAAGAAAATTAGTATGTTAAAGTACAATAATTTATTGTATTAATATGGACACGCATTTATGAAGATTTACCTCTACCATACACTGCACTTGAGCATCAGGATCATGCTCGAGCATATAAATGCAATTCCTTATGCCCATAATTATATTGGCATCTCGTATCACATCTGGCGCTTAAAAGCACTCTGGTTTCAATAAATAACTTGTACATGGTACTTGAAAGTTATAATAAGTTAACAACAATCCAAAATTTCAACGAGATATTGAAAATTTTCCATCTGCGATCAACAATGGGCAAGATATTAGTATTGAAGATGCTTGTGCAATAGCTTCCGGAGGAAACCCATATTTGGCTTGACATTTGAGTCAACCAGCCTCAACATGTGGACGAGAGGTTTAATTACAGTAATGAGGATCTCCTCAACTTCCCTTGAGGACTCCTTGCCGCTCTGTCTGCTTGCCACTTCGATACAGTACTATTGACTTTAGCCCTGCTTTCTGCTCTAAGATGAACTGCATGGTTAAGAAAGCAGTGGTAAACCTGGTGGTCGCCTCCCTAACCATCTCTCGACTACAGTGGTTCTTCACCAAGGAGTGGATGTAACTATGGTTGTATGTAAATTTTGTTACAACCTTGCACTTTTCAGTAAGGAAAACCAGCTTCTTCAACTTCCCTATGCCTTTTAGCATTAGATTTAAACAATGCGCACCACATGGAGTTGAATAGAGACTGCCACCTAGAGAGAGAGAGATTGTGGTTGTGATTTCCCAGCCACCAAGAAATAATGGAGATTCCATGGACAACCACATGACCTGCAAAAGCTCTAATAGTGGAGCTCCACGGAAAACACATGAACATAAGAATATATTTAGTTGCTTTAAAATAAAAATACAAAAAAATATAATTTTTTTCATGAATTGTGGTTCATGTTAGAAATTTTATAATATGACCTTTAGAGAAATTTAAAAATTCACTTCTACAAGAGAGAGATAGAGAGAGTTATGCGCTAACCTCTCTCTCTTTCTCTCTGTTGGGCATGGCCCTACTCCAACATCTCTCTCTCTCTCTCTCTCTCTCTCGCTCTCTCTCTCTCTCCTGCCCCAACCTCCCTCCGTCCCTCCCTCCCTCCCTCTCTCTCTCTCATGGTTGGGGCTAGTGTTTCAAAAAGCGCTAGGCGGCACCTAGGCGATTGGGGCGGTCCAAGCCGCCTAGAACCTAGGCATGTGCCCAGTACCTAGGTGGCTCAGTGGAAAGAAAAATGTCTCTATAGTCTAACAATATAAGTATAACTGTATAACACATAAGAATTAAGGATTCAGGGCACATTAAATGTATAATACACAACTCCACATAGCACACACTCCTTCATACTCAATAACCAAAAGTCCATATCCAATTATCCATAGTTTGATGGTCCACACTCCACAGTCCACACAGTTAAAATTTAAATTTACCAACCAAATTATCAAAGTTACCAAACCAGTGAACCACAAATCCACAATACACATCTGAGATATTTCTAGGGACTCAAAATCTTCTAAAAAACCCTCTAATAGATTTATAAAACATCCAAAACTAAATCTAATATCAATGGGTGATGCTTAGATCAATTTCTTGTAACTTTGATAAACCCTTCGATCCTACGAAAGTTACCAAAAACTAGGTTTTTGGGGTTCTTTTCTCTCTAAAATATACTCTAATGGGTTTTAGTTTTCAAATGAACCTAAAACCTACAATTTTGCCCATTTAATATTAAAAAAAATGCCCCCAATGAGGGGCATTTACGCCCCTATGCGGGGCGCAAGCCTTGGGCGGCCGCTGGTGCCGAATTTGTTCACCTAGATTTGGGTGATGCGCCCAGGCCATCGGGACTGCCTCAGCGGCTGCCCAGGTGCTAAGCAGTTTGCTTTTTAAATCACTAGTTGGGGTTAGGGGTCTAGGGACCGTGCCCATATGCTCTCTCTCTCTCCCCCCTCTCTCTTCCCCTCCCTCTCTCTCTTTTCAAATGTAAATGTAAAATTTTAAA